ACTGAATTATTTATTATTCACTGTGTACATTACATACTTGCATAATCATATTTTGAGCACGTGGTCGTATTTCATTAAATAAAGCTGCTAAACTTTGTGATGCTGTTGCAAATGGATTACTCGCAGCAAGAGTACGCATATAATAGAACATTGCATCTAAATGCCTAGACTGAATACAGAACAGAACAAAACAAAACAAAATAAAAAACACAATCAAGAAATGAAGTACAACAATGAAAAAATTGGTTGATATTCAAGGATGGGAAAAAATGTACCAAGTATAGTGAAAAAAAAACTTCAGTGGAGGAGGAAATCAGGAAGAGGCGCCGCAAGTGGATAAGACACACATTGAAGAAAACATCCAACTGCGTCACAAGCCTTCACTTAGAACCCTCAAGGTTATAGAGGAAAAGAGGAGGACCAAGGAACACATCACGCCGAGTAATGGAGACAGACATGAGAAGAATGAACAAAAATTGGATAGAACTAGGAAATGAGGCCCAGGACAAAGTAGGCTTGAGAATGCTGGTCGGCAGCCTATGCTTTATTGTGGGTAACAGGCGTAGGTAAATAAGTAGTACAGTGTTTAGCATGTTTAGGCGAGAGTAACTATGACTCTCTTAAGGTAGCCAAATGCCTCGTCACTGCACCCGATGTAGTGTGTGAACTGGCGTCGAGGCACATTAAACAAGGGTGTCCAGTTGGGTTCCGGTGAGGGTACTGAATACCAATGATGTCTGCCCACTTACGTAGTGGGATGAACCCTGTTTGGCTGAGAGCTTGCGTTTGGTCGAGTCCATGACATCTTCCTCATGGAAAGGTGTACGTTCTAGCTGACCTTGTGGGACAAACTCGATCTTTAGCTTTATGTAGGGCTTTGAGGACCCTGGTCGATTGTTCAGCGCAGGGCAGTTGGAGGCCAGACGGTTGGAATGGCTGCTGGTTAGTGCACTGCTTGGGTGGCTCAGTAAACCGCTTCGAGGTGCCATGTCTAGCTGGGTAAGCCCGCCTTGCCGATTGGGGATTGTGGGTAGTGGATTGGTTGGAGGGATCTCTTGATCCATAAGTGCCCGGGCGGGGGCCACTACTCGTGTGCGTACTTTTTGGATGTCCAACTTGTCTGCAGTCCAATCTAGACAACATGTATGTTCCCGAAAGGGGCAGGGGTGACTACTGTTTGGCTACAGTGAGAATCCTTGTGTTGCCTATCAATGCAACGATGTGCATGTGCAGCAGGTCTGTTGGTTGACCATGATTAGCCAAATGCCTCGTCATTTAATTGAATGGGTATATTAAGTGACGCGCATAAATGGAGCCTTTTGGGAGTTGTGGTGACGGCTACCTCTTCGTGGTCCTGCCAGGCAACATGGCGTTCTTTACAGCGCTGCGGCGAAAAGCCGTTCCGAACGCTTAGGATACCGTGCATGGCATGGTCCAGAACGATGGTCGCAAGGCTGTGGATGCGGTTAGCCACTATGGGGGATTAGGACTGAACGCCTCTAAGTCTGAATCCCGTCCATCAAGCGTAGGTAAATTCCGATAGTGGTTTGAGGACTTGTCCTCTATCATTCCGTAATAGCAAATACCTTGAAACGGATGTAGCTTTCCAGGATGATTGAAGGCGGCCCTGGGGAAGCAGCCGTAGATATCCTGGACTATTGAAGCTGACCCTATGTGGTTGTCCCTAACACTCTGCACCCGATGTAGTGTGTGAACTGGCGTCGAGGCCCCTTAAACAAGGGTCTCCAGTAGGGTTCCGAGGTTCCAGTGCTGAACTGGTACTGGACGCCAATGATGTCTGCCCACTTACGTAGTGGGATGAACCCTGTTTGGCTGAGCGCTTGCTCTTGGTCGAGCTCATGACATCTTCCTCATGGAAAGGTGTACGTTCCGGCTGACCTTGTGGGACAAACTCGATCTTTAGCTTCATGTGGAGCCTTGGGGACTCCAATCGATTGTATCAGCGCAAGGCAGTTGGAGGCCAGACGGTTGAAATGGCTGCTGGCTAGTTCACTGCTTGGGTGACTCGGTAATCCGCTTCGGGGTGCCAGGTCCAACTGGACTAGCCCGCCTTGCCGCCCTTGTTAGTTGAACATTGAAAAAAAGAGGATAGCTATTCTTACACAACTATATATATAAGTGTATATTTTCGAAAATAACAAATAAAAAATCACGCTTGCTTACAGTATACAAAGCTAAAACAGCTAATTGATTATATGAACGTCCATTTTTCGGCACTAACAATTGAGCTTTTTGATACCAACTAATGAAAATTCAAAAAAAAATATAAAAAATTCAATAATAATAATAGTAATAAATAAATAAAAATCCACATACTGAAATTTCATAAATTTCTTATTGAAATCATAAATCGATCAATGTTAGATCCCTTGTTGACAGCTTGGAAGCACTGAACAGCTCTTTTATCCTGGTATAAGACTCAGCAGTGCAAATCCGTGAAAGCGCAAAGTAGGAATCCAATCCAGGACCTTCAGTCTCGTACACGAACCTCTAAACCACTGAGTTAGTCTCCAACGGGTGTTAATATCTATCTTCAATCAATCCACGGTATTGAGAGAGTTTATCCTCGATGAAAAACTGCCTCACACCCGACGCACATATATATTGTGATTCCTAGTTGTCTTAAATAAATAATACAAAACATACGAAAAGGCTGAATTTTAATGGTCATGGCTTCTCACCAGAACTCCAAGACTTCTCGGAGTTATTCATTAACACTGGTCTGGAGATTCGTGTGCATGACTGAAGGTCTTGGGTTGAATTCCTGCTTACGTTGTCAAGGATGTGCACTAATGAGTCTCAAACTAGGATGAAACAGACATCTAGTGCTTCCAGATTTTCAATGAACGTCTAACAGTGATCGGTTAATGATTTGCACTAAAATCAACAAACTCCACAACCCTATAGTAGAAATTCCGAAACATATATATATATATATATATATATATATATATATATATACCTCAGTTTACAATAGTATTCTAACTAGCCCCTAAATGCCCTAGTACCAACTAGAGTGGAGAGAATCCAATCCGTTTCTCGAAATCCACTCATATGGCTATATGTGAACAGCCACTGTCAACGAAGTTCTACTCACTGTCTCCTCGTGACCGCGCTGTTTACAAAATTGATAAGGCGAAAAGAAGATTTCCGTAGACTAAATCGAGTTGGTCAGTACGGAGGAAGCAGCAAGGAAAGTTGAAAAGCCGTAACTTCAAACACACAGTGTAGATAGACTCAAGGTTCCTGAGAGACAAAGAGTGCAAGGACCTATTGTTAGTCACCGTCTACCATGAGAACGTATTTCCGAACATTGTTTCACTCACTGCTTTGTGTATTAGACCTTTGGATTAATGGCTCAAACGGAGGCTCCCCTAATAAAATCACCTACTTCGGTATGGGTACCCGGATAGTATCGCAAGCACACACAACCGTGGGGTCAAAATATTCTGGTGCCCTTTTGTACCAATAATTAATTAAGTAGATAAACAAAATAAAAATAGTTCATGATGAAAATGACCTCAATTTACCAAAGATTCCGCGAAATCACTTATCTTAATCGCACGAAACACGCAGACTTCCTAATCAACCTTAAAACTACTGCGTTCCGAAAATACTACTAATATCTTGATGTTAGTAGCTAATTAATTAAAAAATTATATTCGGATCGTTGTTTATTAAAAACAGATAACATTTTAGCAGTTTTCTATGTTTCCGTCCCAAACGATAGAACGGTTTTGACATTCTTACTTAAACTTCTCTGGTGTTGGTTGACAATTGTTTAGAAATCCAGATGGTCTTCATTTGTAAAAATGTTAACCTTGCTTTACCAATCCGTTTCTTTATATCTGAGTCAGATCCACCTTGTTAATCAATGATGCTACCCAGGTGCGTAAAGGTTACCACATATTCCGGAACTTCTCCAACAACTATGATTTAGTTGGTGCTCGCTGAAATGAATCTAAGGATCTAATCTTTTCCCTTGTGTATGTTGAAGCCTACCAATTCAGAGGTTGCTGCTACAATGGGCGTCTGCATCTGCATTTGTTGTCGAGTGTGAGATCATCTACGAAGTCCAGATCATCCAGCTACAAACAGAACCTCTGCAGAAACACCTAAAATATACAGAATCATGTGCCACAATTCTGGTTGGATATTTAACCATACCACTACTATGCTTAAGTATGATTTACGAACTTTCCAGAAGCTCGAGGTCATAAGTGACTCTACAAATGCCCTCATTTCTCTGTTCATTAACTAATCCTGGGATAAAGCCTTCTGCTCGTATTTTACGCTGTTTCTCTTGTGTTCAAGTTGCAGTGTATACTTAGTTTGGAGTTATTAGAAGCGGATAAGAATGTAGGTCTTGTGTTTATTTAGTAGACTTATCAGGAATAAACATATTACAATGAATAAAGCCATTATTACTACTACTACCAGATGGCATCATCAGTCATTATATAGCAAATGAAGCTTATAGGTAATGAGTGAAAATTTGTATAACCATAGTACTGTAGAGGTAGGTATGGTTTAAATCGAAAACGAGTTTTCATGACAAAAAAGACATTAGTACAAACAATAAATGATATAGTAGGTATCAAATAAAAATTAACCTGACCATAGCTGCTACACCTTGACATGGTGGTCGGGCTTCACTATCATGATGACCCAACTAAGCTAGATTGGCTGGAACATATGTTCCTGTAGGTTCTACCATGCCAAGCAGGTCGACTGTAGAACGGTAAGACTAAAAGCAGCTACTCAATGTCTGAGGGCGAAGTCGTACTGCTGACTGTAGATGGGTGTGACTGCAGTAATGTGTTTCTCTCGGAAAACCAGTATCTGTAGCGGTACTGCCTTTTCACAACGGAAGGAAAGTGTTAGAAAAGGTCGACCCTAAAATTGTCACACCTCACCTTATCTCACGGATTTCTGTCTCTGGAGGTTAGGTCACTTGAAGAGCGGAGCTAACACTCTACAGACTTCCCATAAAAAGGCCACATGACCAGCCTCAAAACAGTTGTCCCTTGGGCTCTGAGGTTACGCTCCCAGGTGGCTGAGACCAACACTAATCCCACATTTTTTTTCAAGTTCCTCAAGAAACATTCTTCCACAGTGTGGGCAGATGGGAAGTGACATTCGCCCTCATACCCGTAACAGCAAACAAGACCAAATTTGTCACAATCAAATCCATCCTATACCTCTTAATAACTCTTCTACCTCAAGGACTGACTGAAATAATAATTAATTTACTAAATATGTATGTGTAATTGAGATAACTGAATTGTTACTTTACTGTACCTTATCGTAAAAAAAAATAGTGAACTTACTTTCGTGCTTTACCGAAATTACGTTCACCAAGTAAAGTTTCTCTATAACGAGCTAAATCACCAAGAAATAACATTAATTTTTGAGCACTTAAATAAACTAAGCGTCGAGTACGTGATTTAGTTTCAGGCGGTGGTCTACCATCTGACAGTAATGGAGCAAGTTGAATATGATGTATATTTTGTATACGTTCAAGTAGACAAGTTAATTGATTCGATCCAGAATCGATCACTTCAGAGAGGCAAATTTTTTGTATAAGATTCACTAACTGACTTTGAAGAAGTTTTATTGTCTCAGGATCTTTAACTGTTTTAGGAATTAACCTAAGATGAGATTAAAAGTAACAAAAGTTTATTACTATTATTATTATTATTAATATTATTATTATTATTTTAATGTATACTGGCACACACATGTGTGATATACTGGGCAATGAATACCAATAGACTACAAAATGCAGAGTCTTCTGACCACCCCCTAAGCAACAATGCAAGCATGTTCGAGATGCGGTTTCCCCCCTCCCCGAAATGCGAAATGTTGCTTCAAGACTGGATTGCATCGGCACCTGAACTAGAGATATGGAGTGAAGTAGTCGAACGTGTTGATCACTTCACTTTTCTGGGGAGTCTCATCAGCGCTGATAGCCTGATGACTGACGAAATCTCAGCGTGGATACAGAAAGCTCGATTGACGTTTTCCAATTTACGCCATTTATGGAGTAGGCGAGATATCTGTCTGCTAAACAAAGGACGAGACTACTACGCAACAGTTCGCTCCATTCTGCTATATGGATGCGAAACATGGCCGTTAGGAGTAGAAGAGGTCCGTAGGTTACTAGTATTCGATCATAGGTGTCTTCGAAGCATTGTTCGTATATCATGAGACAACCGAGTAAGCAATGCTGTCGTCAGGAAACGAGTACTAAATAAGGACGGCAGATCAATAGATGAAGTATTAAAAACTTCATCAACTGAAGTGGTTAGGAAATTTTTTATGTATGCCCAACCACCTACTGACTCGACGAGCGATGTTTTTTGTGGTGTAGGAGTAGGTTGGAAGGAAGTTAGGGGCGGCCAGACCAAAACATGGCAGAAATCCATGAAGTCACTGACAAGTGAACTGAGTCATGTTGGTAGATGTACACTACCAGGTTGGCGTCTGCGAGACGAAAGTCACCAATGGTTAGAGACCTTGAACGACATGGCTCTAAATCGTTTGCAATGGCGCAAGTGCATCCATTCGTTGTGCTCTCTCAAATCCTAATCTTCTGGATTCGTCAGCACCTCTACCTTCATCTTTCTAACCTTATCTCACTGATTCATACTTCTTGAATAACATCTTCAAACCCTAGTCTTCTTCATTACCATTAATACCTCTACTATCTTTATCACAATGGGATTTGATTTGACATTTGCGTCTCTGTGTTAATGTGGTGTGGCAACCTGAACTTATGTACATACGTACGAAGTTCTACGTTGCAGCTGACTGACTGAATAGACTACATACAATATTATAAACAAGGCTCGATACACTGATATGTAAGTTTTTATATAATGATAAAAGGAAATCTATGCCAAATATGTACAGGAGTGTATTAGTTTAACAACATACATCTGAACATTTTCGCTCAACTAACAGGGATCTAAAGTGAAATTTATCTGATTGATTAATTATGATAAACCTTTAAGTTAGAATAAAAACTGAGTTGAGTAAGCTCGAGATGCAATTGGTCAGCTACAACGTAGAACTTGGTACGTACGTACGTACATCAAGTTCAAGTTGTCATACTACATTAGCTAAGAGAGATGGGATTGTTAGTTCAAATCACGTAGTAATAGTATTAACAGTAATGGGAAAAATAAAGGATCAGAGATATGATTCTAAAAGTATATCCCAGTGAAATAAATCCAAGTGGAGGAAAACAGTCATGAGGAACTTAGATTAGAGTTTGAGAGAAGACAAAGAATAAATGCGCCCACACCACTGCAAACGATTTTGAGTCATGCTATTTAAAGTCTTTAACCAATCGTTACGATTGTCTGACGGACCCAAACCAGGTAGTCTACACCTACTAGCATGGTTCAGTTCAGTTGTCAGTGGCTACATGGATTTGTGACATGTTTTGGTTTGGTCACCCCACATCATTCTCCCAGCCTACTTCTACATCAAAGACGATCGCTCACCAAAGTTGTTGGTGACTGGGTATGCATAGCACATGTCCCAACCATCTCAGTTGATACGGAGTTATTAATTCATTAACTGATCTGCCATCCTAACCTAGTATCATATTCGTGATAATAGCATCGCTTACGCGGTGGTCTCAGGATATACGAGCAACGCTTCAAAAATACCTATGATCAAACACTAATAATCTATAAATATCCTCTGTTCTTAATGGCCATATTTCACACTTGTAGAGTGGGACGGGGTGAAATTTTCGTTATTTTGGTTAGTAGATGGAAATCCTGCATACTTCGTGGTGATGCAAGTTGACAAAAGTCAATCGAGATTTCCGCATCCGTGACGAGATCTCATCAGACACCAGATCATCAGGACCGATGAGACTCCCAAGATAAGTGAGGCAATCAACAAGCTCAACTACTTCATTCCCTATCACTCGTTTATATACCAACGCAAGCCAATTCTAAAGTAACTTTACATTTCGAGGGGGAGAATCACATTCCTATAACATGCTTGCATTGTTGCTTATGCTTACAGCTTTTGCTGCAGGTAAAAGATGGTGTGGAAATATGGAGCAAGTTCGATAGAATTCTGTAAATACTTTTAAAAGTTAAATTTGCATTGATATGGAGACCGGTGTCGGCTAAATTTACAAAAAACAAACACTTCTTATTGTTCTCTTTAGTCTTTTTGATTAACCAAGAGGGGTAATGTTCAGAAGTATGATGTAAATGTCCAGTTGTACACCAAATACAACTGGCTCAGCAACGCCAGATAGATTGGTAAGTACATAAAAAGACAGAAGGACCAGTTAAATAATCTTTATTTCGTGAAGATACACCGGCCAAAAAAAATGAAGGACAGTCTTACGTATTAACAACTAGTAAAACAAACAACTTACTGTGTAGATTGTGGATTTTCAATCCATGAACGTAATGATTCCAAAACAGTATAAAATACCGACTTCCACATACCTTGTTCAACATGTGCTGTATTACAAAAATCCAAATCTGCAACTATGACACTTTCAAATAATAAAAATAAACTTTCACGTAATCGTTTCACTGTACCCCACCAACGTAAAAATAATGCTTCACATTCAGTCCATTCTCTGCCTAATTCCGGATCCGACTGTAATGGTTCAAATAACACCATGGATTGTGCGCACAAACCAGGTGGAATAAGTAAAGCTGATAGAGTAGCATCAAGTTGAACAATTTGTTGCATAGTTGATGCGATTGTTTCACTTGATTTAATTAGAAGAAAAGAAAAGAAAAGCACTTTTTTGATAGAAAGGAAAGATTGTTATCAGTGTTTTTAAGTATAACTTCTTTATTAAGTCTTTCTTACCCGACCGTAGCTGCTACCTTGACGTGGTGTTGGTTGGGCTTGCCTATCGTGATGACCCAACCGAGCTATACTGGCTGCAACTCATGTTCCTGAAGGTTCTACCATGCCAGGCTGGTCAATTGGAGAACGATCAGACTAAAAGCAGCTACTCAAGGTCTGAGGGCGAAGTCGTACTTCTGACTACAGCTGGGTGTGACAGCAGTAAAGTGTTTCCCTTGGAGAACCAGCATCTGTAGCGATGCTGCCTTCTCACAAGGAAGGAAAGGTTAGAAAAGGTCAGCCCTAAAAATGTCACACCTCACCCTACCTCACGCATTTCCGTCTCCTTGGGTAAGGGTGCCCACTAAGGGCTTTTAGGAGAGGAGCTAATCCTCAAAAAACCTTTCATCAAAAGGCCGTCCGTGACCAGCCTCAGGCAGTTGTCCCTTGGACTCTGCGTTCACGCACCCAGGTCTCCAAGACCAACACTAATCTATTTTCCTTTTCAGGTTCCTCAAGAAACAACCTTCCACGGTGTAGGCTGCCGGGAAGTGACAACCGCCCTCATACCCGTAACAGCACGAGAGACCAATCTGGTCGAAATCGAATCCTTCCTACACCCACACATACCTCTCATCTCTCCACAACTAACTCTTTATTAAAATGATCTATTCGCCATCAGAGTATGATATTCAAAAGAAATTATAATTTTTAAGTAATGGTAGGTTAGCTGACGATTAGCTAAACTAGATCGTTAATGTTTTTACATAAAAAAATGGTTACTTTTTTTCCATCACCAGTCATTGAATTGTTAAGCCCCGACCGCTACTACTACCTTGACATGATGGTCAGGCTTGTCTATCGTGATGACCCAACCAAGCTATATTGGCTGGAACACATATCCCTTTAGATTTAAACATGCCCGGCAAGTCGACAACCAGTAACTGCAGAGATACTGCCTTCTCACAAGGAAGGAAGGGGTTAGAATAGGTCGACCCTAAAAATGTCACACCTGCGTCATTTATGGCGTAGGCAAGATATCCGTTTGCTGACTAAAGGACGAGTGTATTGTGCAGTAGTTCGCTCCGTCTTACTTCATGGCTGTGAAACATGGCCAGTGAGAGTAAAAGATATTCGTAGGTTACAGGTTTTTGATCATAGGTGTCTTCGAAGCATTGCTCGTATATCCTGGAATACCCGAGTGAGCAACGCTGTTATTAGGAATCGGGTGCTAGGTAAGAATGGCAGATCAATCGATGAAGTATTGAAACTTCACCAGTTGAGGTAGTTTGGACATGTGTTGCGTATGCCCAACCACCGACTGCCTCGACGAGCTTTGTTTTGTAGTGTAGGAGTAGGTTGGAAGAAAGTTAGGAGCGGCCAGACCAAAACATGGCAGGAATTCATGAAGCCGTTGACAAGTGGACTGAGTCATGTCGGTAGTTGTCGACTACCTGGTTGGGGTCCACGAGATGATAATAATCGATGGTTAGAGACCCTGAATGACATGGCTCAAAACCGTTTGCGATAGCGCCGGTGCATTTATTCTCTGTGTTCTCTCAAATCCTAATCTTCTGGGTTCTTCAACACCTCTAGTTTTGACTTTCTTAACTTATCTCATTGAATCATACTTCTTGAGTAATATCTTCTAATCCTAACTTCTCCGATTACTTCCAATACCTTTACTACGTCTTCTACTATTGGATTTGAATTGACAATTATATTTCTGTGCTGATGTGGTATGACATGAACTGATGTACTTACGTACGAAGTTCTACGTTGCATTTGACTGACTGACTGGCTGACTCCGGCGGAAGGGCTAACTAATAAGGGCTTCTAAATGGAGCGGAGATGACACTTTAGAAATTCATAAAAAGGTCGTGTGTGACCGACCTCAAGCAGTTGTCTCTTGGGCTCTGCGGTTATGCGCCCAGGTCGTTAAAACCAACACTAATCTACCTTCCTTTTTAGGTTCCTCAAGAAACACCCTTCCACGGTGTTGGCAGCCGGGAAGTGACATCCGCCCGCATACCCGTAACAGCACGCGAATTGCAAGATATTCATTAAACAATTAGTACCTTGCGTGTTTTATAGACTCGTAAATAACCAATAATGAGACTTTACAAAAACAAATTACATGAGTTTATAGTATTTTAATCGTCTTCACATTACTTATAAGTTGACCATATTGAATAATTCGAAATGATTGTTGACTGGAAATTAATATTTTAAAGAATCACTATAGAAGAGCAGATTTTTTGAAAAGTTGAATGTGAAAAATAAAGTTTTAAAAAAAAATTTGTGAAAAAATAGACCTGATATAAGTCAATTTGAAATAGTTCGGACTATCCAGTTGTTCATATTTTGACTGAAATTCGATCAGTATTGATTAGAATATGAGTAAGAAGTTGGAGGGATTGATTATTCGCCATTATTAATCAAACTTTGTGCGATTTCACTCAACATCTCTAATCACCGATGACAGATATTGCGAAGTTAACCCACAAACATTGTTCAAAAGAATACAGCTAGCTTCTGTACAAGATAAGATGGTTTAGAGCTGAATACGTAAATCTGTAACTAGTCACTATCATTGTTTAAATAATTAACAGAAACACCGTTGACGCAGCAAGTGTGAATAAGGGCGATATATATATATGTAAATACATATATATGCGATTTCCGAGTGTAAGCTTATTGTTGATTCTGTAAGCCATATTTAAAAATTAGAACACTACAAATTGCCAGAAAAGATGGAAAATGTATGAACTAAACACTTAACTTCTCAAATTCAATGAAGAGAGAGAAGATTGACTTGCGGGTAACAGTAAATTATGGTGCAGGAAGTTACATGAATATATAAGATAAAGATATGTTTGAGTATAACTCCGTCTCAATATAATCATGACTTTTTTCCTTTTTGTGGTGAATTTTACACTTCTTCGTGCAAATGATGGCACAAAATGTGCACTTAACTAATCAACAGAGGAAAAGGACGAAGTCATTAAGTTTGAATATGTTTTAATGAAGGCCTAATAACACAAAACATTATCATTCTTACATATGTGTGTCTACAACGGTTTTACTTACTTTGGAGGCTGTACAACTGTTGATCCTGGAGACAAACAATTAGGTTGATTACCGACATGGTGTATTGACGATTGTCTTTCAGTTTGAAGAGGTGAAGATGGATTGAATTTTGTTTGAGTTTTGAAAAACTGATAGAATGCAGCTTTTGCAGCATCAGTCCATGGGACCGGTAAAACAGCAGTAGCAGATGATTCGGAAGATGTATCGTTGGCAAAATTGTGTGAACTCATATCATTGTCTGATCTCTGTTTACATTGACTGGTACATTTTGACTCGTCAACTCCTTGTGAATCTAATCTGGTGCTGGTAGTTTTAGGATGAATGTATGGATTAGAGAAGCTCGGACGGACAACAACAACTGGTTTGGACGAATCAGCTGATTGAGGGAGTTTCGATAATAATTAAATGAAACAATAAAAAGCATTAGGTATCTATATTTTCCAAATTGCTTAAAAGCAAGTTAAAACTACAAAAACTATGGAAACAAATGGGATCACTAACTGTACTAATAAGGAATCGATAACAGTAATACACTGACGCTTAAAAAAGCTGATGATAAGCAGCAGTCCCGAGGCATGTTACCCAACGTCTCAAGTCACTGGTCGCGATGAATGAGCATGAACTGAATCAGGTGGTCTGTAACTACTAGTACGATTAAATCTAACAGTTAAAGACTACAGATTGATGCAACGTTTCTAAACTACCAGCTTATATAACTCTTGGAAAATAGAAGTGGATAATTTAGAAATGGAAAGGGATAGAGTAGGTTGGAGAATACTGGTCAGCAGCCTACACTTCATTTGGGGTAACAGGCAAAAAAAGTACGAAAGCAAGGATAATTTAAAACCTGATAAAACAGAACCTTTGTCTAGTCTGAAAGCCAAATACGTCTAACGATCAAAGATTTCGATATCTAATTATAACCATGTTGTACATAATAAGAATGAAAAACAAAAGCACTAAGTCCTGAACCGTCTAAACTACTGCTTAGCAAGTACTCTTACTAAAATAACGAATAAACATGCATCACCAAACTATCTATAAAAGTACTAGTACACAGAGTTGCACTTTAGTGGTACATATACTGCTGCATGTTTCATAGTGCAATGGTGTACTGGGCGTTCTTTGACGTGGTAAAAGTATGAAGGGGGGTCTAGTATGTTAACCATCCACAACAGGTATGAAAGCAGTGATAGATAGACGGTAAGTTACACACTAAAGTGGCAAGTGTTTCAGTTGACTAGATAAAAAAAGACAGGAGATTCTGTTTATTTAGTTTGTATAGATTTTTGTTTGTTGGGACGAGAAACATTTTAACAAAGACAATTTGTTATCGAATAAAACAATTTACAACATATTGAGAGAGTATATGACTTACAACGAACTGGTTCACGCCGAGGATTCCTGGAGCTTTGAGTATTCTGTTGAAATATGTCCACATCTTTTGGTAAAAGGATAAGTCCGCCATGTTTTTCCGTAGAATTTTCTGGTGTCGAATTTACAGTGGTATTTCTGAGTGAACGTGAATTCTGTACATCATCATTTGGGGCAAAAGATTCCTGCCTTGGTTTGGAAGAATACTGCTTATTACTAGTTACAGATCTTGAACTGTTAAACTGGGGTGGTGCAGTAATAAGTGGTTTTGTGTTGGCGTCTGCAGGTCTCGGAACTAAACCCGACGCAGAAGAGTGATTATCAGATCTTAGTTTATTCGTGTTTTCACGATCCTGGAGACGGCGACCGTTTTTCGTCTCATTACTAAAAGATTTTTGTGAGGGATGGTGTTCAAGCAATGAATTAATCCCATCTCTATGGTAGCTAGGTGGTTCTGCAGCTACAGGAACAGTTCGGGTAACTCTGACATTACGGGAATCTCCATGGTCTTCAGCGGCTAATCTGTACCGTGGATGATGGTAAAAGTCTCTATCTGGTCTTTTACTTTTCATATATCACAATTGCAGGCTGTGCAAGAGCAGTAGCGCAAATGATGAATTTTGCGCGACAATCTCCAATTCTAGTCTACACAACTTCTTTTGCACTGGTAAGTATCGACAGTCAGTTGACTCATATTGGTGCAAAATCACTGTTTAATATATGATAGGTTAACATCAGATAACCTTATAACCTGTAGTAAGATATAGGAAATATTTTCTGTTTCGGCATTAAGTTGAGTGAGTGTTAAACATCTGTTTGAGAAGGGCTTGCCACTCGATATGAAAAACGGAGTTCCAGTCTTACTTTATGCAGCTGCCGTTTCTGAACCTTCATACAGCTGACATGAAGATGACTAGTTCAAGAGGGAGCAAAAAGATATGACAAATTAACACCTACATCATTATTCAAGATACGGAGCGCCAAAACAAGATCATAATATGTTCTACGGTAAGATAAGGAGAAAAGCCTCAGGCGTTTAAAGCGCTCATCTTAAAAGAATCTAGAAACACCTGAAAACCTTTGGCGACTGCTGCACTACATTGTGATACTGTCTGCAAGTCATGACTAACTATTACTCCTAAATCTTTTTGTTGCTACATACGTGGTAGTGATATACCGTCGATAGTGCCGGGTTCGATATACATTAGCGTGGCCCTTTTTCAAGTAACGTAATTACTATGCTGGTTACACTTGGAGGTTGTTAGTTGGACACGATCTATTTCTTGACCTACTAATTAGAGCATCCCTCCAAACCGTAGAAAGTAGAGCCTGAGTGAAGTACATAGTGAACAGCTTCATGAATAGTTCCAAAATAATATCTTTGACAAACAGCGATAATCAATGGTACAACTCGTCAGCACCCGGTGTCTAACCGGGGTTGAGGTTACTGAGCAATCAAAGAACAGTCTCTTCAATCACAAATACATACATATAATTAATATCCAGGTGGTCTGCTTATAAGAGGTGTTGTTAGCAATTATTATAGAGAAGGCCCCACCAAAAATGTTGCATAAAGTCCCAGCCTTGGCTAAATCTGACTCAGTTAATTATTATGAATTTTTGTGCGACAGAAATCAAGTGACTACATTGGTGTGTTTTGCCATACCATTGTCTCCTATTCCACAGATATTAGCCCACCAGATATCGGGACGTGATGGAACAAAATTATTGTACGACTGAAATCTAAAATACCACTTAGTCACTGTTTAATGGTAGGGATAACTATTAGATGTCAATGTCATAATCACTGAGGCGCTTAAAAACAAGGTCCAGTAGTGATTGTTCATGTTCCAAGTGTATATGCATCGGTTTCATGATTGCATAAATGCACACTGAATGCTAGATGAAAACAGATTGATGACGAGACGCCCACCTGAATTTTATAGCTCTATTCACTTGACATGTGGCGTGCTGGAATCTGCATCATCAGGCGTCAACCAACCCTACACCATGTGTAAATATAACTTGGGATACAGTCATCGACAAGACAACATGAACCAAGATACATCCCCCGTTTGGCCACCAACCCATATGTAGACTTCATGATACAACAAGTAACTTCACATGTACCAATATCGGTCACTTCCAAATTGCTCAAATGTACACTGTTGTGATCTCAAACATAAAAAATACGTCTTCTCCTTTGAGATTTATGAACCCGTCACTTCTATTACAAATGTATCCTGCACTAATGTGGACCAACCAACTCCTACAGCGAGCCATTTCTCTACGACAAGGATTACGTCGGGAATTAATACAGCCGTCATTAAGCTAAGCCCACGTTTTTAGTTCTGAAGCCACTTGTATTGATTAGCAGAAATTTGAGCGTTTTGACTTTCAATCGTTCTACCCGGACCTCATTCTTTTATGCAACTATATATTCAAGTGGTTTGGATTATTTGAATTATTTCGAATTAGTTTTTCTAATCAATGGAAAGGAAACTACGATGCACAATAATTGGAAATGGACCAAGGAGGCAATCATTTCACTATGTTAGGAGGTTATGTGCCATATGAAGCGCCATCACAAGGAATTGATCTATAGTGGTACTCTATATATAATTCAAGAAAGGAGGAACAACATGGAAGTAATCAACATCAGCTGAACGAGATCAGAGAAAGTTAAGGCACAAGCTCAATAGACAGAAGCAAACAAGAAAGTGAAGGGGAGCAGCAGAGCCAACAGATGTAAATATATGGAAGATCAAGCAATGATGGCGGGAAAGCCTGCAAGAGAAGGAAACAAGAAGCAATCGTGCGATACAAAACAGAAGCTAGCTAAAAACTATCGTAAACCAAGAAAGGCAAAGCAGCAGCCAATATTGATAACAGAGGAGTAAGTGGGTAGAGCACCCAACGTATCTCTTGAATCGTAAGGATCGACCGTGTACTGACCAAATCGCAACATTACGGATCATTGTGAAACAATCCATTTCATGGAACACATAACTCTACATCAACTTCATCGACTACTACAGGAAAACACTGTGGACGTTTGTTCGACACTACAGAGTGCCTGAGAAGATAGTCAACATCATACGGAATCCTTTCGATGGATTTAACTGCAAAATCGTGCACGGAGGTCAGCTGACTGACTCGTTCGAGGTGAAGACCGGTGTCAGGCGAGGTTGCTTACTACCACCATTTCTCTATCTCCTAGTGGTCGACTTGATTATGAAGACGTCAACACCTGGAGCGAAGCATGGTATATAGTGAACAACAATGACGCAGCTGGGCGATCTAGACTTCGAAGATAATCTGGCTCTTCTATTCCACACGCTACTGTGAATGCAAGTAAAGAAGACCAGTAAAGCAGCGGCCTCAAAGGCAGTAGGTCTCAACATGCACAAAGGGGAAGGCAAGATTTTACGATGCAACACAACATGAGTCAACCAAATCACCCTCGAAAGAAATGTCAGGGCAAAATCTTTGACAATCAAGGTGGATCTGATGTAAATGTGATTGAGAGGAACGGCAAATCAAAGACAGCATTCCTACAAATGAAGAACATTTAGAAATCCAAACAAATGTCAACCAACGTCAAAATCAGGATTTTCACTACAATTGTCAAACCCATTCTGCTGTTTGCGGCTAAATTTCGGAAAATTATCAAAGCCACCAAAAAAAATAGGTAGGATTCAAACCCGATTCCCACCGACTTTTCCAACTACGATGAACAGGTTCACTCCTTTAATGTCGTGTGATGTGCCCCTAGCCTCTCCAAGTTGTAAGACTGATAATATTAAGAACAGGTCAGACCAACATCTGATCATGCGCACAAATAATTATTATCCAAGAGCTAGGTGCACTGCCCAACCACCTAATCCTAGAACTATTAGTGAAAGTGGAAATGGAAGATTTTTCACCCCTCACCCCATCCTAAAGACCCGGGCTTTTATTCGCAAAAACGCTGAGAATGAAAACTCTATGCATCCTGCTCTACCAAGCCAGCTGGTAAACATGACCCTCAAATTTAGAAAAGGCCATAGCAACTGGCACTCGTATATGGCTAACCCTCCCCAAGTTAAAACCATCCCATATAAATTTAGCCTTAGTAACGAGCTGTGTCATCAAGACACTACTAGAAACAGTGGTGAACCGCAATGCCAGCCGAATCAAAATTTTTCCGGGATACAGCCACTTGTGGTACCTCTTGCGCGACATATAGCTCAAGTCATTTCATACCACATACAGAACATAAAAACACTCTCCTCGCACAATCTCAAACAGACAACATTCTCCCCATTTCCCCCGGGCTAACAACCCCTCCTGTAATTTCAGTGACTTACTTAACATGCCCCCCCCTAACTCCTCATACCACACTCACGTAGGTCATAGTAACTCCTTTACTCAAGACACCCTAAACTATTTTATCTTAGAGGGACATCTGCTTAATTTATGTCTTAATAATGCTCGTTCAATCTGTAATATAAAGACAGATCTAGTCATGTTTGCGACTATTTGCCAACCAACACTTATTATGATAACTGAGGCATGGACCTGGAGTAATATTTCTGATCTTACTAAAATTTTTGAAAACTATGATCTGTTTCGAAGTGATCGGTTACAAGGAAGAGGTGGAGGATGCCTTATATATGCCCAATCTAGCCTAAACTCGCTCTTATGTGATATATCTGAACTAAATAGATTGCCAGACTCTGTGTGGATCGTTCTGAAACCGTCAAATGCCGTTTCCTTACTGTTCGGCTGTGTCTACCGACAGCCAAATGTACCACAGGAGATCTAGCATTATTGTCAGAAGTATTCACGTTTGTTTCATCCATAACGTTTACAAGCAAGGCTATTTGTGGAGACTTCAACATGCATGAAATCTGTTGGTTCCCAGTCAAAGCGCTTAAACGATTTGAATCATTCATTGAATGCTTGGAGCTTCGGGAGTGGACTCAACATGTTGACGGCCCAACAAGAAATCAAGATACATTGGATTTGGTTTTCACCAGTAATCTCATTCGTAATGCTGGAAAAAATTCCTAGGTAGCGATCAAAATATGGTCATATACAGTCTTGATATAGGAGCTACAACTATAAAACATAAATCTACTACACTTTGTAGGGACTTTCGTAGGACTGATTGGTCAAACTTCAGTATCTGCCTCAGAAGCATTAACTGGACAAACTACTTTACTGCAACAATACTGATGAACTAATAAATGTATTTTATCACAACACAAATAGCATATTCAACAAATTCGCACCTTTAGAATCCTGGAGACCCAGAATTCGTAAGGGCTTATTTATGCCAGGTCATAAATGAAAACGTCTTCGAAGACATGCTTCCAGAGTTCATAACTGTAATGACTTCTCCTCCATAGTAACGATGACTGAAATATGTGTCGAGGCAGAAATAACACGTACTAAAAAGGCAATCGCACAGGAAAAGAGTGCTTGTCAGCTGAAACAATCAATCCTCTGAACTCATAAAACTCCTTCGGAATAAACTCAAATGCTCCAAAGTGAAAGGAGGGAGCATATTTATTAAGAACAATCAAGTGTATGACGACCCTAAACGTATCGCAGAGTTGTTTAGCGAACATTTTTGTGC